GGAGCGGCTGGGCTAAAAATCTCTGTATTTCCCTTGGGGGACCTGCAAATCTCCTGGGGGTTGGGGTTCCCAGGGAAATGCTTTGATTTTGGAAGTAGAAGGGAAAAAAACTGCAGTTGACCCACCAATCTGCCCACCCAGATGTTGTCCTGAGAATGGGTTTGGGTACCAGTGTGTCCCCAAGGAGGGGCGGGGGGCATTGGGGACCTGACAACCCCCCCAGCCCAAGCTGGTACCCATGTCCCAAGAGGAAAGGTAAGGTTGATGGGGGCATTGGGCAAAGCAAATGAAGACGTCATTATCTCCTGATGGTTTCATGAGCTTTTGTTACAGAAAAGAAGGAAAAATGGGATTTTTTTCCCTCTGATCTTCTTAAGCTGCTGCAGCAATTTTTTTCTCAGATATGTAAATCTGAGCTTATCCCATCTTCATAACAATTAAGGAATTGGGCTTAACACTAATCTAGGGACGCTTTATTTGTTGGGCTGGAGGGAGATTGTGTTGCAGAAGGGGCTGGTGCACTGCCAGGAACCCAAATGCCTCTGTGCTCACAAGTGAAATGAGTTGGCCCGTCCTCAGCCTCTCTCCGGGCCTCATTGCTGTCCCCTCCCCAGCCAGGGATGGGGTCAGGCCAAGCCACATGGATGCAGAATCCTCAGGCACTCCCTATTTTTGGCCGCTTTTGGACCTTCCTGCCTCCCATGGAGGCTTATTGCTACCCCCCCGCCCTGCCTTGCTTTGCTCCATGCTGCTCTGTCTGGAGATGAATTGATTCCAGCAGTCAAAGCTAACCGGATACATCAAAGCATCTTGGAGCAATTTGTTAAGTAAATAAAAAAAAAACTTGGCCTAAGCAAATACAGGAAGAAGGGGGTGGCTCGTCAGGGCAGATGAAAGGTTCTAAAGGCAGGGGAAGCTTCAGAGGCTTGGAAATGATGGGGGGAAAAAAATTAAAAATAAATAGCGATTGCCAGGAGTTTCAAAGCTTCCATCATTTCAGATGTGGATTCCCAGACTTTCATCCCAGACCCCTGCGGGAAGAAGAGACACAGCTATCTCTGGGTGGATTTGAGATAGGAGGTGTAGGGGAAAATGTGTTCAGATAGCCTTAACTCTGCCCCCAACCCCAGAGGCAGCACCAGGGTGATGCTGGGACAAGCGCAGGCAGAAATACTGGACGGTGGGTGTCAGAGCAACGTTAGGCTGGGACTAAAGGCTGGGGATGGTTTTCCAGCCTCTGCAGGTGTTGTTGTCTGAGACTAGAAAAGCCATGGTTCAAGCCAGCAACTTCCAGTGCAGGCAGGGAAAGCAGCTGCACAGCCCGGGCAAGCCAAGTACAGTCCCGTGCATTATTGATGGAGCAGATAATTGTGCGCTTCCCACCAGCTCTTTGATGAAAAATTGATGGCATGGGACGAGGTAGCAAGGGGCTCCATCAACTTACACCAGCCTCTTTGTTTCTTAACAAACACCAAAGGAGAGGTGATGTGGGATGCCGCAGAGGGTGGGAGGCATAAGAGCCTCTGTGGGTACTCTGAAAGGGGGGCAGGACTAAGGGACCTGTTGGGGCAGAGCACCCCTTGCCTTAAAATGCTATAAATTCAGTCTTGGGATGAAAGTGGGGTTTGACCAGTGAATTATTCAGTGAATTATTCTCTGCTCGGGATCAGGCCAAACACGAAGGCAGAGCTGAAGCCCAATGCCACCCAGCATCTCCAAGCCGTGGGTCCTCAGAAGTTAATTGAGCACTTGAAACATCAGAGGAGCATGCTGGGAGGGCAGAGCTTATCCATGCCCACATCCAAGGCATGGAAATGAGGTGCTGTCACTGCCAGAGCCACCCAGCCACCGAGTCACCTCCTTCTGTCTGCGTTGCTGGGAGCAGGAGATAAAGCAATGGTGGTCAAAACTGGGATGGGGATGGGGAGGGAGGGCTGGGTGCAACAGGAGGCTGGTGTCTCAAAGGGAGTGCTTGCAGGTTGGCAGTACTGGGGGCAGGTGCTGCCTGCTGCCCCCGATGGCTTTGGAAGCGGCCATAGGGTGCCAATGGGACATGCGATGGTTGGAGGGATGCTAAAGGGGAAGAGATGTGGGTGACCAGGACAAGGAGCAGCAGAGCCAGCTGCCTGCACCTGCCTGCACCTGGGATGCACCCATCAGGGTGCAGCAGGGCGATTTCAGGCACTGAGCTGCTGCAGGGAGGAGTTTCTAAGAGGAAGGTTGTGTTGTAGCAACAGCTGCCTGCATGCCAGGCCGCCAGGAGCCCCCATGCCACGTAAATCCCTTTGCCAGCAGAAAGGGCCTGGGAAAACCAGATTTTCCTCATGTTGCAACACCCTGGCATTGTGGTAAGTCCACCAGCCTGACGGCAGATCCGGTGGCGGCACGGGGACTGGAAGTTTGCCTGGGGGTGGCTGAGCTGCTGGGGAGTTTGTTTGGGGCAGGCAGAGCCTAGCAACCCACCAGCAGGCAAGGCTGGCTGCCGGGAGCAGGGTGCCGGGGGGATCGGGACACCCCAGGAGCAGGGATGATACTGTACTACAGACCATTCTCCTCCACTGTGAGTGCTGGGGGGCAGTGGGTGGGGATGGAGGTGTCGCTGGTGTCACCAATGGGAGCTGAGGACCCAGAGGTCCCTGTTACAGGGACAGCACCCGACTAGAGTTGCTTTCAGTCATAGCCAAATTTCCTCCCAAGGGTGCATGGCTCAATGGTCCAGCCATGAGATGATGCTCAAAGCCAGGTATTTCTAAGTGTCCCTATCCTCAGGAGAAGGTCCTTCCAGACCTGTGGCCACACCATGTTGCATCCAAGCCCCAAAGGGGGATACTTAAAGCATTGCAGCCAGAAATGCCAGAGGTTTTTGGGGCAAAGCTGGATCCTGACCCCAAAGTAACAATGGCGAGGGTGGTTTGCTTCAGGTGAAAGCCAGGAGAACTGCTCCCGGCTGCAGGCAAGGGGCTGGAGGAGCTTGCAGCTCCTCTCAGAGGGCTTTCCCAAGCCTGATCCTCATCCTCACCCACTGCTCTGATGTCTCCTGCCAGCTCCACCAAGACGAAGTGTCCCTCCCAGCGGCTGATGCCATGGCTAGCATCCTTCCCGGAAAGCATCTGTTCCCACATGGGACAGGAGCACCGTCAGAGGAGCAGAGGTAAGGTGGCCATGTCAGTTTTGCAGCCCCCTCTTGGCTCCTTCTTCTCATCCCCCTTGGGGTGGTTTCCTCCTTCCTCCATTCTCCCCATGTTTTCCCCAGCAGCTTCTCCTCCTGCCCCATCACTACCAATCTTCCTTCTCATCTCCTCCAGGCCCCCACCCTCTGTGCACCCCCATCCCCACCAGTACCTGCCTTGTCCCCTAGCACCCCAAATAGGCTCCTGCCTTCTACGGAGGGTTCCCCAGCCAAAGCTTTGCCAGTGTTTCACTCCAGCAGGAGCAGCTGGCCAAGGGTGCCCCCCCACTCTCTGCTCCATAGTTCCCAGGAGATCCTCAGGGACCACCAGGAGCTGGTGAGTGCCAGGGAGGCTGGAGGAGCAGGGGGCAATCTGGGCACTGGGGCAGACAGCAGTGTCCCTGAGGTGGGTCCTGGCTCCCATGGGAACCGAAGCCAGGCTGCTGTTGGCTCTACGCTTCCGGTGAGTGAAGGTCTGGGGGGGTGGCAGCCCTTGCGTTTGTCTTGGGCATGAACCAAGTCCCGGATGAAATAGCGCTCAGGCAGATGGGGAGGAAAGAGCCGAGCCTCTGGCAGCACCTGCTCCCCCCTTCCCCCCCTTCCCCAAGGCTGGTGATGCTGCTGCACCCCCTCCCCATGCCCTGGCTCCTCCCGCCAAGGCCGTTCCCAAGGCTGGGAGCGGGGGCCAGGGGAGCTGGAGGCACGTGGCTCCCCCGGCCAAGGTCCCCGCTGCCAGGATCCTTTCTCCAGCCCAGTGTGGCAGGGAGGGATTCCAGAGGGTCAGCCTGAGAAGATGCAGACCCTTGGGGAATTATTTCCCCCCAGCATCAGCTGGCAAGATATTCCCCAGCCGCATGGATGCTAAAAAACCTTCAGGCTCATCTGTATAAAACATTCATCCCTCTGTTATTCTTCACCACCTCCCTTCTTCTAAAAGACTTGCAAAGCCCTGTAAAGCTCAGAGCTTGAGGTTGACCCCCAGCTCTGACACTGCTCCACACCACGTCCTTGGGAGAGTTGTTTTTCCACCAAGGGGGTGGTAGGAAGAGATAGGGAAATGTGGGATGGAGGGAGAGGTGGGCAGGTGGAGAGAAGAAGCTTTGGAGGGACAGGGGAGAAGGATGGATGGCTAGAGAAGAAAAGGATGGATGGATGGATGGATGGATGGATGGATGGATGGATGGATGGATGGGGAAGAGAAGGATGGAGGTTGCAAGAGGAGGGGAAAACCTGGATGTTTCTTAGCTCCTCCATGGTGGGTCTAACGCTCAAGCCAAATATCCCTCAGCTGAGCTCTCGGTACTGGGGAAAGCCCTGGCTGGCAGCAGGGTGCCAGCAGCTCTGCTCTGGGCTTGCAGGAAGTGAGCAGCTACCGCCTGGCGCTGAAGCAGATGGCGGGGGACCTCCTGTCCTTGCGCCAGCACATCACCAGCCTGGAGGTGGAGAACAGGCACCTGCGGTGCAGCCTGGCCTCACGGGAGGAGCTGGGCCATGCTCTGCTTACCAACATGGACCTGGATGTCATGACCCGGGAGGAGCTGCTGGACAGGCTTGGTGCGTGATGGGGAATGAGGGGGGGAAATTAGGGCACCCCTCTCCCTTGTGCAGCAGAGACGACCACACTGTCCCCTGGCCGGGTGCTGAGGATGTGGCATGGGCCCTTGCAGCCACCTTCAAGCGCAAGCTGGTGGCCAGCATGGCAGAGATGAGGAGGCTGAAGGACCGTGTCCAGCAGCTGCAGAATGAACTGATCCGGGTATGGATGCCGACAGGAGCGGGCAGGGGCTGCCCGAGGGAGGGGGTGGGGGAGGAGGAGAAGGGGGGCAGCAAGGAGACCATCAAGGCACCCCCATAGCAAAGCAAGTGCCTGAGAGCACCAGGATCCCCACCACGAGACTCTCCCAGCCCTACAATTGATGCCCCGAGGCTTGAGGCTTGGCAAGGGGCCTTTTTCCCTTTTTTCTTCTTTCGAAAGAAAAGCCTTTCAAAAGAAAAGCTTTTTGAAGGAAAAGCCTTCCTCTTTCGGGGGCTTTCCCTTTTTTCCCTGCCAGAAAAATGATCGGGAGAAGGAACTGGTGCTGCTCCAGCAAGCCCACTGGCAGCAGCAAGCCATGCTGAGGAGGTGCCAGGAGAAGGTGGCCAAGATGAAGGTCTTGGAGGAGACAGTGCGGCAGCAGGAGAAGGTGAGTTGTGGGGGCACGAGGTTGGGGTGAGAAGGGCAGGTTAAAGGGCACAAGGCTCTTTGGCAAAGATGGGACCCTTTGGCCTGTTCCACCCCTCCATGAGCACTACCTGGTGCCAGAGGGGATGCAATTGTCACCACAGCCTTGCATTGAGCTGTCCCCATGCTCTGGTGACATGGGGACGGCTCTGCTCTCTCCCACAGGTGATTGAGGTGATGGAGTGGATGCTGCAGGAGAAGCTTGCCGGGGAGGGCAGGAGCACTGAGAAGCCAGCAGGTGGGTGCAAATGGGGACAGGAACCCTTGAGGGGGTCCCATATACAGCTGCCAGGCTCCAATGCTGGCCATCCCCTTCTGATGGTTCGCACTGCGAGATGGTTTGTGGTGGCGGATCAGAGTTGGTCCTGAGTCCTCCAGCACCCATCCCTGGCTGTGGGGGAGGTGAGGGCTTGCTCCTAGCCCCCATCTCTGCACAGGATGGGTGTAGGACATGTCCCAGTGGCCCTCCCCACCCCATCCCACAGGTGAAGCCCTCTCTGGGGAGGTGTACACCGTGCTGCTGGCTGAGAACCACAGGCTACAGGAGGAGCTGGCGAGGCCCCCCCACCCCTCACCCGCCGTCGCCCAGCGGCCCCCAGCCTTGCCGGTGAGACTGGGGAAGAGGGAACAGGGCTGGGATGGGGGGAAGAGCTGTGGCACCCCCAGAAAGCAATGCCAGAGGGTGACGAGGCATGCTGGGGGCATCACCCAGGTGGCATCTCCAGCTCCATGGGGCAATAGCCACCGCTGTGGCTTGCTCACCCCGTGAGCAGGTGGTGGGAAGCGGTGGGGTAATCCAGCATTGCCTTTCCCCACTCCTGCTCATCTCGTGTCCCACAGAGTGTTTTTGGGGGCATGGAGAAGCTGTCCCTGCTGGCCAGGCTGGAGGAGGCACAAGCCCGCAGGCGGGTGCTGGAGAGGCAGGTGGGCATTGCCCTCCCGTACCCCACTTGATGGCAGGGGGCTTGGGCTGTCGGTCCGGGATGGGGGGCACCTCTTCCCCCCAGCTTTGGAGAGAGCCAGCCTGGTTTGGGTCTGTCCCAGCTGGAGGAGGCAGCGAGGAGGTGGGGACAGGAGAAGCAGGAGCTCAGCACTCATCTGCT